TACGTTCAATTCACCACGACGTCCACAAAGAAAACGTAGCCTCCGTCAACCTTTCTCTGCGGAGCTTCATCCAATAATTCCTCACACGTATGTTTGTCAGCTAACCTGTAAATTAGGTCCCCCAGACCCACGAAATATAACCGCTGTCATTTGTGAGCTTTCACTTGAGCTATTTGTCCGTGTCCTCTATTCATTGTTAATGCATTTGCTGCTTCTTCCGCCGCTGTCCTCGCGTTACTCCACGCGGAGTCCAGACGAGGTGGAGGATTGTCGCTCTGCGCTTGCGGCCTTCAGGCTGAGGGTGAAGTGCTTCTGTGGGACGCATTCGAGGCAGAGCCGTGTTATACATTGATACCTTCTGGGTGCAGGGAATGGCGACCTGTACTTGTGTGTGTGTGTGTGTGTGTGTGTGTGTGTGTGTGTGTGTTGGACACGTCGGTGCTTGCACGCGACCTCCAGCACCGCTCATCAATCAGCCCGACCTCTCCGCTCCTTTCACACAGATGGGGGCTCGTCCCCCCTGAACTCTGAAGAAATGACCACTGAAATGTGAGAGCGAACCTGCATCTGCTCTGTGTTGTTTTAGGAAAAGTCAATGTATTACTCTTTACGGTGACTTAGGTCACGCTTTAGTACAGTTAAATACACATTTAGTTAAACTGTTTCTTTTGCCGTTGACTCCTGTTTTACTGCTGCACCAATCAAAAGAACAGTAGAGATAAATGTTTTACCACATCCATGTTACGATTGATTTTTATTGGCATTCAAGACATTTGATCTCTAGTCCTTGTCTTTTAACCAGGTAAACACAGTTCTTTTATTATTGGAAGCCACTTAGGGAGATAAACCAAGTTACATTTCTACACTGAATGTTCTCATTGGCCACAACCAACCTGTTTTATTCCAACTAGAGTTGTCAACAGCGTGGAGGTAAAGGGTGCAATCCTACTCCGAGAAGAATGAACTCAAATCATCTGTTTTGTATCTCCGCCAAGTCTCATTCTGGACTGCAGTTTGAGTGACAAGATGTAAAATATGAATGCAGTAAGAGTGAAACAAGTGCACAATGGACTGTAAATGAACCTGTCGGAGCGGCGGCCAAAACGGTGAAACAGTAACTCAGTCTAATTCCAACATTAGTCGAATTTGACAGGAAACGCGGCAGGCGTCGAACCTTTCCTTCATATCTTCCACATGACAATCCGAGTATTTTCAGCAGCTCGGGCCCACGCCCGCGTGTGAGTGATTTTATGTCCCGCCGGCCAATTTCCTCGGTGAACAGCGAGCGTTTTTTTTTGTGCCTGTTTGTCAAGCTTGAAAGCAGGAAAATGACTTTCTGTGTGGTATTTGTACCACATAACACAGTCCTGCTTTCTGAGCCTTATCTGTGTGTTATATGCAAAGCAGTGCCTTGCTGTAGATAGCGGCTTCTTTTGCACATCTTTTTCAATAGAAAATTAAGCCTAGTTTTCTCATACAAAATCACAACGCACAATAAAAACTTCTAAAAACTGTTTAAAAAAAAAAAAAAAAATTCCAACGATGCTCCCATCACATAAAATGTAAATGTAATTGAATGGCTGCGAACTCTCCAGGAGGATTTTATATCCTGCGTTTCCTCCTCAGGTCAATATCTCTTTGGCACGAGATGAGAGATTTCTAATTGTTTAAATTAAAGCCTGAATCCAAACAAATCATAGTTTGGCACAAGCTCAAACTCTCCATCCAAAAAAAATAAGAAAAAAAATCATTGCAATGCTGTGACACTTGGCTCATAAGCGCAGCGGTTGGATTCAGCGGCAGAGCTGTCGGATTCCCAAATGAAACCATCATAAAACGTGCAAACAAGAGGCGAGAGTTGGTGATCCGGTGCCAACTCGCACACCTTCATTCCTTCATGACCCCCCCCCCCCCCCCGTGGGCAAAGTCCCCATAAAGAGCCGCCAGGACGTTATGAGGCTTGATTACACAAGCGTAGCCCCGACGACACGCACGCACGCACAACGCGCCGCTTTTCAGAGGGACGATTTCACCTCTTCAAAAGCCGACCAAACTCGATCCTCCGCCTCCCGGGCACAATGGCCGCCCTTGACGAGGCGGACTCACGTGGTTGAAGCTCAGTTTCCTGTAAAGAGGGAACCTCCGAAAAAAACAATGTTCACGTCACAGAAAGAATGCAAAGAGCGCGCTTCTCTTCCAGTTCCGGTTTATCTGTCAAGGATGTTCATTTGGGCACGAGCTGTTTCTTTATTCCTGATTACTACCACACACAATACAACGTTAGCTTTTTAACTTTGGAAAAACATCTGACATCAGTTTTGACTGTTACGTTTACGTTTATGGAACTTTCTTTAATGTCCTTATTTGCTTTCGCCGGCTCTGGTCTGCTGTGTCTTTTGGGAAAGTACACAAACAAACAGATTCCAGGTCGGATTACTTGGAAACGATTCCTAATCTCCGAGCGCTCGGGTGACGTAACCAGATCTCTTTCTGGTTGAGTTGAAGAAGAAATGAAGAAGCGGCCGCCGCAGGGTTCTTCCTGCTTTGTCACCTCCACAAAGATGGAGCTTATCTACGCCGTGCGTTTCTCTTTTACAGGTACCGTGCCGACGTGCACGGCCCCTCCGGTGCAGTGACACAACCCCTCAAACATCCTGTCCCTCCGTCTTGCCCTCCTTTGTTTTGTGGGTTATTACAGTCGTCATCTCGTGTCCACGTGGCCCTTTTTTTAGAAAGGAATTCATTCCAGAGGCGGATGCTGGTGCATCGTTTCAATCTCTCCTGATTCCAATGGAGCATAAACACCTGTTATGCAACCAGCTCCCTGTGCTCGCTGCTTTCTTTATCACTCCCTCCTTGTAACATCATCCTTTTTCAAAACCGATCCGCCAAATATTTATCAACAGGTGATCCGTGTTTGTAGGTCACAGCTCCCGACCCGAGCCCTGAATTTACTTATGCTTTGATAAAAGCCTGCAGTGCAAGTACTATATTTCATCTTTTTAAAAAAAATGGCTTGTTCTGAATAATAACCGGCTGATTCAGTAAAAGCAGAGTTAGTATTTTTCAACTCGATGACTTGGTTACCCGAATGAATGCCTTTTTTTTGGCTGTGGTCGAGGACGTTCTAAAGCTATCCGAAGATGTTCCTGGAAAATCTTTTTGCGGTTGGCGTGTTTTTACGGAACGAGTCTGTTCGCTGGTTGTCCTCATGTGATTGTAAACAGAAAATCAGCCAGCATGGCCACCACCCTAAACCCCCCCTACCCCCCCCTCACGCCCTATCCTTTAAGCAGCGAGCTGACCATCTGTTCCAGGCGCCGGCCCCCAACTCAACACACACAGTTAAAAAAAACGCACAAACATTCATCACCGTCAGGTAATATCCGCCGTTGGCTGTGTCTCTGCGGATTGACCTTAATGCAGTTAGATTGACCGCTTTGTTCGAGGTTAAAGGTGGTGTGTTTGGGTGGGGGGGGGGTGGGCCTCGTGGTCATTCCAGAGTTGCTGAGGAGACACATGGCAGGAGAGGTTTGAGGTGGGGCGACAGGAAATGACCCGGGGTGCAGGAGCCCTTTTTGCTCCACTCCAACTAAATGCGCCCCTGTTCCATTTCCTGTTGTTGCCGCTGATTCAATTGGTGCTTTAAACAACATCTTATTTGTGTTTTTCCCCCCCCCCATTTTATTTCCCTATCATTTCCAGAACAATTGAGATATTTATTGGAGCTGCAGAGGGAGAACCTACTTTGTCCCAACTTCCCTTTCTTTGTCACACATGCAAATGAACCAAACATGTCTGTTGGTCAGACAAAACTATACGTGTGAAAGAAAAACAACTCAAGTTGTAGTTCGTCCCATTCCCCTCTCTACCTACTAGGAAAAAAGCCCAAAAGCAACAAGTCGAAGCTCATTCGCCTGCTTAGAAAATGGTTTTCCTAAAGTTGGATTCGAGAGACGAGTTAAAGGAAAGTGGGAACAATGAATACATATTAGCGCGCGTCACGGGATTACTCCTGGAATGCATTGGACCTCTCTGACTGTACACGACACGGAAATGCTATCCGGTTTAGATGAAAGGAGCAGTACAACGACTATTGCTATGAAGGCTTCATCAGCGGTAACTGAAATAAACACAATAAAGTGGGTGTTTTTATTTCTGCCTCATCTGCTTTAAAAGCCTCAAATTGGACACGAATGATTTGTGCTTTTGCGAGACGTATTTCTCCGGAAACACTTTGAAGTTTTATTAGTTGCTTTTATGTTTTTAACCTCTCTTCATCTCTTGTTTAAACCTTTCTCTTGTCATGAAGCACTTTGTGACGTCCGCTCTTGAATGCTGTTCTTACAGTTGCCATAAACGGCATCACGATAGCGCAAAATACACTCGCAATCCTCCGCTGCCTCTTTTCGAAAGCCTTATACGTATATTTGTTTTCTGCTTTGCAGACACACAACCATCCAATGCAACACTGCATTTATTGCCTTTTTTTGCCCAGTTTGCAGAATCCTCACGTGTATTGCATGAATACGGCGGTTGAATCGGCCTCTCTCCGTGGCCTCCTGCAGGCCCACGATGTCCCTCTGATGTGTATTAAAGAGGGAGCTCGTGAATACCGAGATTGTTTCTCTTCTGTAAAGAGGACAGCAGCTGTTGGTCTCGGCGCTGGCGAGAGCTTATGTGTGTGTGCTCGGGAGTGTGTATGTGTGTTAATGGTAATCCCGTAGACCCAGATGACTTATCCGTTATCCTTTATGAGTGTGCATGTTGGGGCTCCGGCGGGAATAATTTGGCCCTTTTTTTAGGTTGCATAATAGCACATGAAGTCCTTGTGTCATAATCCCACACATTTAGTAATCTGGCTGACGGCAAAGGGGCTTTTGGTCGGGACTTGGATCAGTTCAGCAGTTGGTAGAAGTTGTCTCGGATCATAGATGTGCCGTGTCAAGTGTAATTTGTGTTTTGATGGATATTTGCGTCTCTCTCTTCTGCGTCCGCAGTGGTGATGCCTTGAGTCCGCGTCTTCTCCAGCCCAGTAAAGGACGCGCCAGTGCCGGGCTGCCGCTAATGGGAACCCCTGCTCCGCCATGAGTGGTCGTGATGGCGGCGTCGGCGCCGGCGGCATGGGCACACTGGGCCGGCGGCCGCGCTTCGAGAACTCCGAGTTCACCGTGCGCATCTACCCGGGCGCCCTGGCCGAGGGGACCATCTACTGCCCGATCAGCGCCCGCAAGACCACCACAGCGGCCGAGGCCATCGAGCGCGTCATCGAACGCCTGCAGCTGGACCGCGCCAGGTGTTACGTTCTGGCCGAGGTGAAGGAGTTTGGCGGGGAAGAGTGGGTGCTGAACCCCAGCGACTGCCCCGTGCAGAGGATGATGCTTTGGCCCCGCGTGGCGTTGGAGCACCGCCCGCTGTCCGGCGGCGAGGACTACCGCTTCCTCCTCAGGCAGAAGAACCTGGACGGCTCCATTCACTACGGCGGCAGCCTCCAGATGTGGCTGCAGGTCACGGAGGAGCGCCGGCGCATGACGGAGCGCGGCCTGCTGCCGCAGCCGGATTCCCGGGGGGACCACGCGGATCTGTGCCACCTGCCGGAGCTCAACGAACGCTCGCTGCTGGACAACCTGCGTTCCCGCTTCCGGCAGGAGAAGATCTACACGTACGTCGGAAGCATCCTCATCGTCATAAACCCCTTCAAGTTCCTGCCCATCTACAACCCCAAGTACGTGAAGATGTACGACAATCATGCACTGGGCAACCTGGAGCCGCATATTTACGCCGTGGCGGACGTGGCGTACCACGCCATGCTGCAGAAAGAGAGCAACCAGTGCATCGTAATATCCGGGGAGAGCGGCTCCGGGAAGACGCAAAGCACCAACTTCCTCATTCATCACCTGACCGCTCTCAGCCAGAAGGGATTTGCCAGCGGAGTGGAGCAGATCATCTTGGGGGCCGGGCCAGTGCTGGAGGTAAGCAGACAGCCTTCTGGGATTCAATCCACGTGTGTGCTTGTTGTTTGCAAAAGACGGCGAAGCTGCGCCTTGTGAGACACGAGACACGAGTCGGGCCGGAGTTTACAAAAATGACGACTTTTCGACCAAATGGTTGAATTGAGACGCGGCTCCCAAAAGAAGAGACGTAGGGGAGTAATTCATTTTAAAAGCATGCAGCTTAAAACACGAAAGACATTTTGTATGGGAGGGCGACTGTGGGTGAGTGGGGGAGGACGGTCGCCCTCCAATCAGAGGGTTGTCGGTTTGATCCCAGGCCCCGCTAACCCGCATGTCGATGTGTCCTTGGGCAAGACACTTAACCCAACATTGCTCCTGTGGCTGCGACTACAGTGTGTGCATGTTAGTCACTGATGGGCAGGTGTCACTGTGTGTGGTTCTCCTGTCATCAGTGTGTGAATGGGTGAACGATGTCATGTAGTGTTCATCTGGAGCGGTGAAGTCGGGAGGACATGGATTTAGTTTTTCTCCAGCTCGAGACACAAAAGGGAATCTTGAACTGGGACTGAAATAACTTGACTTCGCCTCAAAAAGGCCGACGCCGCTCTTGCTAATGTCTAAGAGGATGGTAGCGGAGAATCTGTAGTTATTCAAATGTGCGACTGAGGGGCTGATGGCCGCCCTGTACGAGTGTTTTTACTGCTGCGAGTTTCGGTCATCTTGTGCCTTTTGACGCCAGTTACACAGCGTTACTGCCACAGCTCGTCCCCAAGGTCGGGCCCGAGTTGTGTCTTCCCCCGATGCAGAGGTTTGCACTTCAGGTCCATCTGTGGGGGGATTATGCAGCACGCAAAGAGGAGCTCTCTAACTGCCAACAGCCTCTATCAGTGGTTATAGTATGATTTTATTATTTCTGATTACTGCCATTTGTTTTGTACAGATTGCCTGACTAGAGGCCCGGCCAAAGGGTTGAGAAGGAAATTTTATTTTTCATATCACTCGAGACATTCCGCTCAGTCTTTTGAGGACCTGTCACTTTAATGCCCGCCCATGACCGGTCTTTGACACAACCACAACCATGCATTGTTTTTCTCACTTGTCTGAATTCCTGCCGGTTGCGCCGCCCTCTGACTGTACGCACAATGCCGCCAATCAGGAACTGAAAAAAAAAAACTGGTTGCTTAAGAGTGTTTTTAATAAGGGGTTGTATTGCTCACTGTATCGAGTCAGCTGACAACACGCGTGACATTTGATTCACGTAAAAAAAAAAGAAGAGAAAAAGCAATTGATTTGAGTTCCTGCAATGACGAGCGCGCCATTCTTCCCGGTGCTGGAGGCGAGTTGAAACCGGTGGTTTAGAATCCAGGTCCAAAAGGCAACCGGCAGAACCACAATTTTTGCAACAAGTAGCTCTCGGCTGCGTGTCACTGCCTTCGGTTTAGCAAACACAGTTCTGAGGAATGCCATTCATCGGTGTGTCCGCGGGGTTAATAAGTAAGCGTCTTGGGTTAATCCTCAGTGCTGCAACACCAGTGAGTAGTTTTGAGTGCAGAGGAGCAGCCTTTAATTGTTTGCACAGTAAGATTGCGTATCTGCCCGCTGGTGACTGATGCCAAGGCTGGAATTACTGAGCTACTTCAGAGGGAGGGAGGAGGAACGACGCCCAACACAAACTCACAGGAAAACTTTTATTTCTGTGCTGCTCAGGGAAGTAGACCAGCACCACAGCAGGAATCGCCTTCAATCATTCTTTAATTAATCTGGAATTGTGTGTCGGTATATTTCACCACAGGATTGTGTCGTTTTTTTGATGTTTGACCGTGACCTATGACACGCTGGGTTTGCAGGTGTTGATGGGTCGAGTGTTGGTGGAAGTTGGAGCATGTGGGGAAACAGAAGTTGTTCAAAGTCGTGTGCGTGTGGACCCGGACGGAGCTGCAAAGTCTGATAAACGTCCTCGAGGGATGTCACTTTTCACGCTCATGTTGGGCCTGAGAATTAAACAAAGAAATGTGTTGACTTTGAGTTTTCCGACCGTGAACACACAAGTTGCATCATGGGTAACGTAGGTGCGATGTTTTGACAAGGTAACAATTGGGCCGGATAGAAAAAAATCATCCTGCTGCTTTAGTTTTGATCATTTTTACAACCGTCCAACAAGCGAGTCCTTGTGTTACTGAAGTTGATTGATAGAAACTCAACGTTTTACTTCACAGCAGCCATCTACTTCCTGGATAAGTGACTAAATGTCCTTCCTCTTTCGTGTGATGGCTATTTCTATTTCTGTGTCTTGAAGCTACAGGACACCGGTTTATGTTTTTTCATGATCTCCAAATCCAGGATCCGACGAAGTAATTCGCTGAAAAATACATCAAATAAAGGAAAGAAAAGTGGATTCAAATAATTCATTTTTAAAGTTTTGACTGGACGCCATGAAGACAGAGCATTTACTGTCTCGTGTTTTATTTTACTGGTAACATTTTCCTTTTTCCTCTTCAGTTCTTTCGGAATTGCGGTGTTGTTTGGGTTTAATTTAGCATATTCCTTTTCCGCCCACTTCCCGTTATCAAAGACCAGGATAGCGTTGAGCCATCAAGACAACGGCCCTTTAGCGGAGCAGACGGACGTTTCCTGCTGACTACGCCGGGTCCCGCTAGAGCAGGGGTCTCAAACTCAAATCAGCTGCGGGCCAGATGCAGCCCACTTCAACCGAACGCGGGCCAGACTAGCGTCCGAACGGCATGGTTGACAATAACACAACTTAACACTCACTTTCAAAAGCAGTCATTGAACCCCACCATGGGGGATCGGTCCGAATGAGACTACAACACTAGTCCTCCTTTAACTCAGCGGGGGAGACCTAAGGTCATGTGACCGTGGAATTCCTTTATAGCCAAACGTGAAGTTACGTGAATCGAAGCTGCGTAGTGATGGACGGAGACGCTCGTCGGTGACGTCAGATGCTTCATGTGTTGTTAGTGTGAGTCGTAAAGGAAAACTTTATTAAACGAGCGATGCTAACGGTTAGTCACATGATCACCTGCGCGAAAGAGGGCAGGAAACTGAATTTCACCCTCCTGCTCTCTGCACCTCGGCCGACACACACGACCCGCCCCCCATGTCAGTCACATGCATGCCACGTTCACTGGACAAGCACACAGTAGGAAACCAGAACATCATAACATGTCCCACACAGCAGCTGACAGTGGGGTTACAGTATAAAACTTGCGGGCCGCACTAACATTACACTTTCATATTAAGGATGGGGCCACAAAATATCGTCCCGAGGGCCGCAATTGGCCCGCGGGCCGCGAGTTTGAGACCCCTGCGCTAGAGGATATCGCCTACGAGAGCCTTTGGCCCCCGTCTTTGGAAGCCAGCCAACCAGCTGCAGTGACGCGTGAAGATCCCGACGAGCCCCCGTCGCTCGAGTGCTTCAATTAATAAGTGAAGGAGATGAGAACTGTAAGCGCGTCGTGCCGGTCGCGGTGTTTCGGTCGAACGTGGTTTGTTATTCTAGCCGGCGGACGTTGGAGTACGTGACGGGCGGGCTTCACTCGTCGCCTTCGGTCCTAAGTTCACCCTGCAGAAAAGAACACGCGAGATATGAAAAATACTTCACCTGATGTTGGTTTAGTGCTTATCTGCGGCCCGTCATTCCTCACGCTGTTTTCCTTCTGGTGCCAGATACGACTGAAATTGACATTAAGCTTTAAATTCCTGTGACTACCGCGCGCTGGAATTTACTGCGTGAAATAGTCTGGAGAACCTGTGGCTCCTTCGGTGTCCATGTCGACATCGGGCATGGAGTGTAGTAATGAATGCAGGAACAAGTATAATAGAAACACAAAAGGCGTCGTGTCGTTTTAAAGCCACATAAACGTCTGTACGGTGGAGGCAGACAAACCGCAGAGGCTTAAAACCTGTTTAATGATACAAGCGAGTGCAAATGAAAACTGTGCTCATCAAGGAGAAACTCCCAGAGCGAGAAACACAGAGAAATGTGCGATTCTACAGGTTGAAACCAAGTGCAACCCGGCGCCGATTAAGACATTTTAGGTTGCAATCGACTTCCATGAACTGAAAAAAAACCAAAACACTGTGAAAGGGTCAAAGTTGTAAAACTCCCAGATTAGACAGATTTGACTTTTATATGATTAACTACCACCCTTATGTTTGCGACTAAACGATAATGGCAGATGTGGTGAAAATGCTGCAGGACGGCATCAAGGTAGCGGCATGGTTACCATGACTACAACATCTACAACAATCTACATGCTAAGATACTGCAACCTATTTCATTACATGTCATTTTTTTTTTCAATATTTTTTCAATATTTTTTCAATATTTTTATTCAATATTCAATATTTATTTCAATATTCGTATCCTTTCTGGAATACATCAAAGTAGAAGTTTTAGTAGTTTTTGGTTACTAATACAGGGCGATGTATTGCTGCTAGTTGAGGACGAAGCAGTTTCTGCTCCACCGTTGTTGTTGTGGTCGTCACCGATGAAAACAAAGACGGCTCACAGGAGGAGCCGCCATTTGTTTTTACATGTGAGCCGCCTGACGTCCTAATATGAGCTCAGCTGTCTTCTGGTCTCCCTCTGGGTGGGGGGGGGGGGGGGGGGGTTACCTCACGCCGCTCGCTCTGACGCTGCATCATTAGGATCTGCTGTCCAGGACTGCGGAGGCGGCGTCACTGGGCATTAGTGCAGGAGCCCAGCTGATGTGGGTTGTGTGTTTTCAATTGTGTGTGTGTTTTTTTAAGGTCACTAAACTGCCCACACAGGATGGACACAGTTTGTGTGCACACACACACACACACACACAGCAGAATGGTCCCAGTGATCAGACAAAGTGAACACGGCCACTAGCCAAACATATTAACTCTACTCCAAAAGCTCCACTTTCATTGGGATGCTTAAACCTGCGATAAATCATTTATACCAACACAGAGGTCTCCAAAGCAATCAGCCATTATGCAAAAATCCCATAAAAATGAAGCAAATTCCT